TGGCTCATAAAAACATGTCCTTCCAGTAAGGAGCGCCGTGACCGTAAAAGCGGGCCAAAGCTTCCAGGTCAAAAGCACTCCTAATGCTTATTAAAGCATTCCTAAAGAGAAAACACTGCACCCCTCCGTCCCTCTGCAAACCATCAAAGAGTGTCCCAAATATATATATATATATATATATATTTGAATAGGCATAAAGGCAACATAAATCATTCCACCCTTTGCCTTTATGACATGTAAAACAAAATACAATCCCTAATATGTGAATAACACGTTGTATAAGTGTGTTTTCAAACTACATGTAAATGAGTGTAAAATAAGTATAAATTGACATAAAAGCATCAAAATAATCATTCCTATATCATTCCACCCTTGCCTTTTATGGCAATTTAGACATTTAATTCTGAAAAGTAACACACACAAAATGTATATGTTTGAATAGGCATAAAGGCAACTTAATATATTTTTATAAAACATGTTTTTATATCAGATATGTACTAAGAAAAACATCAGCTAAAAATACACTAAGTACTAATAGCATAAAAACATTACATCGAACATCAGCACAAACATGAGTCTGTGTGAGCGGATGAGCAGGCATGAACGCATCAACATGAAACAGATCAGCAGCAACATGAAACCGATCAGTAGCAACATGAAACAGATCAGCATCAACATGAAACCGATCAGCAGCAACATGAAACAGATCAGTAGCAACATGAAACAGATCAGCAGTAACATGAAACAGATCAGCAGCAACATGAAACAGATCAGCAGTAACATGAAACAGATCAGAAGCAACATGAAACCGATCAGCAGCAACATGAAACAGATCAGCAGCAACATTGAAACAGATCAGCAACATGAAACAGATCAGCAGCAACATGATGTGATTTGTCAAAGTGATTATTCTGGTTAGAGATTCATGAGTCTAACAGCCTCAGGGTAGAAGCTGTTCCTCAGTCTAGTGGTTCTACACTTAATGCTCCTCAACCTCCTTCCTGAGGGGAGCGGGACAAAAAGTGTGTGTGCTGGGTGAGTGGGGTCCTTCATGATGCAGGTGGCCCTCTTCCTGCATCTGGAGGTGTAGATGTCTGTGATGGTGGGGAGGCTGATTCCAACAGATTTCTGTGCAGCCTTCACCACTCTCTGCAAAGCTTTTCTTTCTGCAGCTGTGCAGCCTCCATGCCACACGTTGATGCTGGAGCACAGGATGCTCTCCACTGCACACCTGTAGAAGGAGGTGAGGACTGAGCTTCCCAGACCAGCTCATCTCAGCCGTCTGAGGAAGTAGAGTCTCTGATGAGCTTTCTTGATCAGGCTGGTGCTGTTGTTGCTCCAGCTGAGGTTGTCATTCATGTGTACACCCAAGTACTTGTAGCTGGAGACCACTTCCACTGCAGATCCTCTTATGTTCAGGGGGGTGTATGTGTGTTTGTTCCTTCTGAAGTCCACAATCATCTCCTTTGTCTTCCTCACATTAATGTGAAGGTTATTCTCTTTGCACAAGCTCTCCAGGTGTTCCACCTCTTGCCTGTAGCTGGACTCATCATTGTTTGTGATGCATCCCACCACCGCTGTATCATCTGCAAACTTTACAATGTGACAGCCTGGACGGGTAGCTGCACAATCATACGTGAGCAGAGTAAACAGGAGGGGGCTCAACACACATCCCTGAGGAGAGCCATTGCTCAGGGTTATGGTGGAGGAGAAGTTGTGGATCCTCACTAACTGTGGTCTGTTTGTTAAGAAGTCTAGTACCCAGTTGCAAATGGAGGGGCTTAGTCCTAGTGTGGATATTTTGTCCATCAGGCTTTGGGGGATCATGGTGTGAAGGTGGATGTGAAGTCCACAAAGAGCAAATGGACATAAGATTTTTTCTGCTCCAGGTGGTTGAGCGCAGTGTGGACCACAGAGGAGATGGCATCCTCTGTTGATCGGTTCTCATGGTATGCATACTGATGAGGGTCCTCATTGATGTTGATGGTTGTTTTGATGCGAGTCATGACCAGTTTTTTTAAGCATTTATTGACTATCGGGGTGAGGGCCACTGGCAGAGTGGTACAGTCACTGTAGAGGTTTTTGAGACTGGGATGATGGTGTCAGTCTTCAGGCAGGTGGGAACTGTCTCCAGGGTAAGTGAGGAGTTAAAGATGTCTGCCAGCACCTTGCAGAGCTGATCGGCACATTCTTTCAACACTTTCCTGGGAATGTTGTCTGGGCCAGTTGCTTTGTGCGGATTGATCCTCCTGAAGGTACTCCTTACTTCTGCTGGGGTCACGCTGAGATTCTCTTCATCCGGTGATGAGGTGAGTCTGGTGCTGGGTGGTCTGTTCAGGTCTTCAAAGCATATAACTTGTTGAGGGCATCAGGCAGAGATGGGTCTTTGGGGCATTGTTCACTCCTTCCTTTTTAATCTTTTATGCACTTAATGCCCCTCCACATGCTCCGAGGGTCTTGTGAAGTGAACCGACCCTCGATCCTCTGTGCATATGTGGCCTTGGCCCTCTTAATACCAGCAACCAGCTCTTTCCTAGTCCTACTCAGCTCCAGTGAGTTTCCAGACCTGAAGGCAGTGTTCCTGGCTTCCAGCAGGGTGTGCACCTCTGCATTCAGCAACAAGAACAACAACAAGAAGAAAAACAAGAAGAAGAACAAGAAGTTGAGGTTGTCACAAAATCAAACAATTAAATTCTGGTGATGGTCTGAATCTCCCTCTGGATCCAGGATATAAAGAGGATGCAGCTCGCTGCGCTGCTGACAGAGACAGAAAGAAAATAACGAGGACACAGACAAATAACACGTAGGTGTCATCATGCCTCATCTAGGTCTGTATGTTGATCGACGGACAAAGCTGACCGCAGAACGTCTGAAGAACGTGAGAGTGGATGAGACAGCAGCTGCAGAGATGTTGGTCTTGGTGGAGGTGTGCGCTCTTCAAGAGCTTCCAGTGTAGTGAACTAAGCCTCAGGTCAAATCCTGACCTTGAGGGCCTTCCTGGGACAAGAACTGTATTTCATTGATTTGAGTCCAGAAACACAAAATCAAGTCCATCCAGAGACTTTCTAAGTGTGTCCTGCACTGATCAATTGAAAGAACACTCTCTTTTTTATTATCATTACTATTTTACAAATGTCTTGATAATCAAAGTGTGTTTAATTCATATAATTTTTAAATGTTGAAGTGAACTACTTATTTTAAATCAAGTGTGAAACAGTATTAATGATTTTCAATCCTCATTCAAAGTAGAAATCTAGTTAATGTCTGTTACAGAGTAATTATTCATTTTCTTGATCTTCTGTCTGAAATGAGCAAGTTGTAAGTCGGTCAAACGTCGGAGACAAACGCAAACAAGTTTGTTGGAACGAACTGTCATGTTTTTAAATCCTCTCAGACGTAAATAGAGAAGCTGGCACCTGTTTCCTCCCAACTCGCCTAAACATTTCTCTTGTCTGTCTCAAAAACATTTTCTGTCTGTTCCAAAACATTTTTCTGTTTTTCTGACTTCTAGTGACCTCTTACGTCATAAAAACACACCCCTGATTAGCTCTTTCAGCCAATCAGGACTTCCCAAATGAACCGGAAACAGAACTCTTTAAATGTCGACACTTCCTAGTTCCAACCAGTGCGGTGGGAGAGCAGTTCAGTTCGGAGGGCAGAACCGAACAGAAAAGTTGCTGGAGAGAACAGGAGGTTCCAGACATGATCCGAAGTTCTTCCGAGTCTTGTGGGAATTATGGAATCTTCCACATCTGAGTGGAGCCTCTGACGGACTTACTCCTCATGTGAGTCCACCCGTGAGGTGAACGTGTGTCGAACGAAGTACCGTCACTACTTCGGACGATTCACAGCTGTTCCTACGGAGACGCTGGAAAGGTGGCGTTAAATGGAACTCCGTACCAGTGGAGACATCTTCTACAGGTAAAGAGTCGATTTGCACTACCTAAGTGTACCGAGGTGAAGCTGGGATCGAATGGAGAGTGCCGTTCTGATACAGACACATATTCCCTCATCCATCTTTTTCTCTCCATTTAAACTTCATTTCCCATCTTTAAACTCTTCTATCTTGCCAGTAAATCATCCAGATATTTTCATAAATGTCTGTTGTAATTAAGCTGTGTTATTGCTTCAATCAGAATAATCACGTGTACAATGTTTGATGTTAAACTTTGATTCTGTTAATAAATGACCGCATTCATTTGATGGGTCAAAGAAACTTAACGTCTCACGTCACTGATCTCTGTCACATATCTGTCAAGTAGCTCGAAAAAGAGAGAACCCGTTTAAATTAAGTATAATATCAGGTACTTGAACTAGTCCAGATATTATAACATGTAGTGGAGCTAACGAAGCTAACCGACCAATCCCACTACACCAGTAATAATCATAAATCAACCACTTTAGATGTTTCCAGGAACCAGCAGGTCAAACTGTTCAGAAGACTCCGAGGAGCTGCAGGCCACATGTGGTGCTTAAATCACGTCTTACACAATTCTTGAGTAAAATTGATTTTAGCTGCTTAGTTAAAAAGTTTAGTTGTAGATTTAGAAGAGAGAAAAAACTGTACTAAAAAACATCCTCTTCAGTGTCTATTTTATATTTTTAATTTTTGTTGTGGCCAGCAAGCCCTGCTACTGTTAATTAAAATAAACTAAATGTGATCATGCAGTTTATCTCACATTACATTCAGGGTGTAGTATTTATACATGTTAGAGGCTTGGATAAGTGTGGTTTATATTTGCCTTTTGTTTGAATTATTATAGTTGTAATTTTGTTACTAAACTGAAAATGATGACATCATCAATTGGTTCAAAGAGTTTGAAGTTATGAGCCAGTAGTTGTTTGATGTGATGGTGTTATAACAGGTTTATCCCAATTCAAGCAGCGTTTTAAGCCTTTATTTTAATTTAAAATAAAACTATGAACCATTTCTTAGATGGAAAGACTTTGATTCAAAACAATCCACTGAATAAAACAAGTGAAACAGTTAAGATGCTTACAGCTGTTGGGTGGAGAGTACTTGTCTCCTACAGAGATGTAGCTCATCTCCATGAAGACACCCAGACGCTCCAGGTCACTTTTTCCACCACCTGACAGCATCTGACACGAACACACGCACGCACACGCACACACACACACACACACGCACGCACGCACGCACGCACGCACACACATGTTTGAGAAGAGTAAAAGGATTAACGATGGTCGTCAGATCTCAACATACCTGTGGATGAAGGGTTTCTGTCTGTGTGAAACTTTGCGTGCTGACCAGTTGCTATGGAGACAGTGACACACAAGGAAGTAGGGAGATGTTAATTTCAAAATAAAAGCAAGAAAATCTGCTTGATAAAAGTTCAATAAAACCATGAAACTCGACATAAAAATGCAGTGATGTGTTATTTAGGGTTTTCAATAATACATACAGTATATATATATATATATATATATATATATATATATATATATATATACATGCAGCATGGATTGTTTATTTAAAATGTTACAATATTTAAATTTAAATTAGTTTATTTAAGGAGAGAGACTGGGAGTAACAGGTGATGAGTGAGTGTGATTACAGCCTGGCACACGTCATGACGAAGTTTACTGAACATGAACTGAACTTGAACTACTGCATCCCTACTTCGCGGTTTTCACTTATCACGTCTGGGCGTGGTCCCAAACACCCACGATAAATGAGAGACTACTGTAATGCCACTTAATTGTTGATATGTGCTGCTGATTATCAATGCTGCTGATTTATTTCATGCTGCTGTGTTCAAGTCATCCTCATCTGCTCACACAGACTCATGTTCGTGCTGCTGTTCGGCGTGTTGTTTTTATACTATTAGTGTTTACTGTATTTCTTAGTTCATATCTTTGATCTTATTACTGTTTTCTTTACAAGTTATACTTTTGTTGGATGTAACTGGGACCCTGTGTACACAATTTCGTTCCATCACATGTACCACATGTGACGAGAATGACAATAAAGAAACCTTGACCTTGAAAGAAAAGCTCAGCAGAGAGTGGTGAAGGCTGCACAGAAGTCTGTCATAGTCAGCCTCCCCACCATCACAGACATAAACACCTCCAGATGCAGGAAGAGGGCCACCTGCATCATGAAGGACCTCACTCACCCAGCACACACACTTTTTGCCCCACTCCCCTCAGGAAGGAGGTTAAGGAGCATTAAGTGTAGAACCACTAGACTGAGGAACAACTTCTACCCTGAGGCTGTTAGACTCATGAATCTCTAACTAGAATAATCACTGTGAAAAATCACATCATGTTGCTGCTGATCTGTTTCATGTTGCTGCTGATCTGTTTCAATGTTGATGTGTTCATGCGTGCACATCTGCTCACAGACTCATGTTCATGTTTGTGCTGATGTTCAATGTTATGAGTGCTTAGTGTATATTTAGTTGATGTTTTTCTTAGTTCATATCTTAGATGTTATTACTGTTTTTCTTATACATTTTATTGTTGGATGTAACTGGGACCCTGTGTACACAATTTCACTCCACCATATGTACCACATGAGGTGCGAATAACAATAAAGAACATCTGACTCTCTGACTTTGATATTTATATTTATATAATATACTTTATAAAAACACATATTTTTATGATTTTAATTAAGAAAATGTCTGTCTGTCTGTCTGTCTACAAACCAACCAACCACCTACCTCTATCATTTGAGGAATCTGCCTTGTAGTTTTCTTATTACTGGTACTTAGAGGTTTAATTTCCTCAAATGAATGCAGTGGATGAAGAATAATCTGTGATGGCCAATGCCACCACAAACATCAAACACAGCAGCTTAAAAATGTATTTTTTTTTTATATTTCTAAAATATATCCTAAAGATAATGGATGGCTGGATTGTAGTCAAAAACATTTTTGAAAGATTTTCTTAAATATATTCTCAATGTTGCCACAAGGTGGCAGCAAAATCATGGAAGAAGATCCAACATTTTTCAGTCAGGTCATCTGGACAGTTTCTTTTTTTGTGCTGAAACCTTTCGCCTTCGATCCAGAAGGCTTCATCAGTCAAGAAAACACACAACAACAAAACTGATTCTTCCCCCAACAGCTTAAAAAATGTTGGATTGTATACCTGGATTACTGAGCATGGAAGAAGATGTTTAAATCTTAAGGCAGTGTATGAGTCCGTGTATTATTGATGCAGGACCAAACACACACACACGCACGCACACACAATCACACGCACACACACACACACGCACACACACGTGTGTGTGCGAACACATTAATATTAGCAACTGTCATTGTCTTTCAGAGGCAAAAAACAACCTTATTGCTCCTAAATGACGCCAGTTTCACTTTTATCAGTAAAAACATTCAGAGGAGTGGTGGTGCAGAGGTTAGAGGAGGTGGGCCTTTGAGTGAAAGGTCACCGGTACAACTCCCTGGACCAATAACATCAAAATGTTTCTGGGAAAAGTGAAGCACCCACACCTGCCTCCGCCCTCACTTGCCCCTCCCCGAGCGCTTGAGCAAGGCCCTTAACCCCCATCTGCTCCCCCAGGTGCCCTTGATGGCAGCTCTGCTCCACACAGAGGGCTGTGGTAGCTCGGTGGTCTGCGGTTGAATCAGGAAGAACATGTGGTGTCAGGCTTCACTTTCACGTCTCCAGCTCGTACAAAATGCTGCAGCTCGGCTACTAACAGGAACTCACAGGTTTGAGCACATTACTCCGGTTCTGTCCTCCCTTCACTGGCTTCCTGTACGTGTCAGAGTTGATTTTAAAATTCTCCTGCTGACATTCAAGTGCATTAACGGCCTTGCACCATCATATCTTTCCGACCTTCTTCATCCTTATGCTCCTTCTCGGGCTTTGAGATCATCAGACCAGCTGCTTTTGGCCGTACCTAAAACCAGCTGAAGCTCAGAGGAGATCGAGTGTTTTCAGTCGTGGGCCCTAAACTCTGGAACAATCTGCCCATCAACATTCGACAGGCCACCTCAGTCTCTGCTTTTAAATCTCTCCTAAAAACTCACTGTACTCATTGACATTTAACACAGAGTAATCGGATTTAGATCTAGTTTTTCATTGATGCTGATTCTGTTTATGCTTTTGTTGTTATTCCTATTTAACACAAGGTCATCAGATCTGATTTAGTATTTCATTGTTTCTGACTGAGTTTATGCTTTTTGTTATTATTTCCTTGACTTTTGACACAACATGATCTGATTTAGTATTTCATTGTTTCTAATTGTTTTCGGTTTTATATTTTTATATTTCCGTCCCCGTGTCCATTACATCTGAAACAAACCCAAAGCATATTCTAATAAAATTTAATTTATATATCAAGCAGAGCATTAAGGCCAGCCATAATGCTCTGCTTGTGAAAGTAAATCTGTTGGGCATCACTTTGACAGAAGAACATGTTTCTGATTAATCCATTTGTGTGTGAACTTTATGAGGCTTGACATCAACATCAAGTTTCCAGCTAACAGGAACAAGTCCCTAAATATAAACCAGTGAGTCCACAGAACCCCACTGGACTCAGGGTGCTTTATCTAAAGTAAACAGTGACTCTAACTGGTCTGGAAAAGGTTTATTAGCTGCTGGTCAAACAGAAAACTAATGAAGGAAACGTTTGATCAGAGAGCTGGACTCATCATCTCCACAGACAGGGAGGGGGCACACAAGGGGTGCCACAGGGTTGGGCTGGACGTGGACCAGTCTTTGACAGTAAACAGAGATGGTCTGCAGTCAGGAACAAACTGATCCTGGATCAGCAAAACGATACAAAGTACCTGACAGAAGGACCTGCCTGGACCTGCACCTGGACCACCACCTCCTCTTTAGAAACAACACAATGTTGTTCTGAACAAAAACTTTACAACAGGTTCAACCGTGCTGTGAAAATGTTTCCACCTTTTACAGATTTATTTTGTTTGTGTTTTGTTAGTCACACCTAAAAGTTTCACATTCAATTCAAAATAATTTATTCATCCAAAGGTCAATTAAGTGTTGTAACGCACCATCCTGATTTCATTAAGAGTTGTTCTAGAGGCTGATGGCTGTGGGCAGGAAGGGCCTCCTGTGATTCGTTCAGCAGCAGATCTGAAGAATCTGGCTCCCCAGACCTGACGGACCTCTCGGTCCTCCTGGGCAGCAGGACCACCTGAATGTTGGGCAGAACTCCTCCCTGAGCGATGGTCTCTCCTCTCAGCAGCTTGTTGAGCTCCTCATCAGTGCAGAGAGCTGCAGGTGTCGGAGGATGATCCTGGTCTTCCTGCTGTCATGACACATGTTTCCTGCCAGCTCCAGGATCTTGGCGGTCACCTACTGTAACTTTCACTGTATAAGTCACAGTTTTCTGCATAAATTAGCATGCCTGCCACTTATACAGTGAAGAGACCTACTTATGTTTTTTTTCCATATCTATAACACAATCGTTGGCTGAGATCTGACGATTTCATTCATTCTGACATGGAAAATATTGAACCCTGGTGAAGATTCTCAGTTATCCAGGACATGGCAAATTCAAAAAAGTTCAATACAAAACAACTGGACAGTGAGTGTGGGGTTCATATCCTGAACCCCACACTCACTGCTCTTTGAATTGAGAAAGCTTCTAGGATGAGAAGCGAAACGTCTCATGTTACAAACAAAGTCCAGTTGTTTTGTATTGAACTTTTTTGAATTGAGCACTAACATTTTCAGCCTCTAGAGGGCCCTCGAGTTATATGGCAAGCCAAGTGTCTCATTATGAGGTAAAAGTGGCTATTAATGAAATACGTGACTTGCCATACGGAGCCACCTTGGTCTCGCTCTGGAACTCCTGGAGCAAACGTCAAATCAGCTGCATTTTGCTGCCCAGGAGAAATGCAGCTGATTTGACTATTAAAGTGCATCTATTAAGGAAAAATTCAACTGAGGCACATCTTCATTATAATTTAAAGCAAACAAATAATTGTTTTTAAGTGTTAATCTTGTTAAATTCTTGTTAAAGTCCTCCCGTGCACGCTCCCCCCAGCCACCATTTGGCAGCCAATTGATTTTTGGCACACCGGCCCACATTTCCGGGTGGTCAGTGGTGACGCGTAATAGATGCAACCTATATGGTG